ATATTAGGAGCAGCATCCGACCCTCGGGTTGTAGTTTGCCTGCTCTAAGTCCTCCGACGTCTCTTATATTGTTGCACTGTAGGAGAACCTCGAGTACCACAAAGGTCTACACACAAAGCTATAACTTTTGTGTTGAGAGACAAAAGCCCTAAACAGTTCTTACTAAACTGTGTTGCCTTAAACAAGGTATATTAAAGCTTGTACAATTGTGTCGTATTTATAGAAATGTTAATTGACCCAAATGCATTTGTGCTCCCTTCTTAGCTGCTGGACATGAAGATTTTCGTGGACACGGACTCTGACATTCGATTAGTACGTCGTTTGAGGAGGGACATCACAGAGAGGGGAAGAGACATCGAAGGGGTCATCAAACAGTACAACAAGTTTGTCAAGCCCGCATTTGAGCAGTACATCGAGCCGACCATGCGCTTGGCTGACATCGTGGTGCCACGTGGTGGGTATACATTAGACTTGGGGTTTGGGCTGATACCATCTGATACTGAAGACATGTATGGGCCCGATATTGGTCGGAATTGAATATATATTTAATTGTAAAGTGCCCAATATAAGCATTCTTTGACATGAAATGCCAATATCAACAGCTATTAAAATGGCCACATTTGGACAGGGGTGGAAAAAGTATTTACAAAATGTAAATATACGTAAAAGTATCTTTAATTTGCTTAAGTTCCACTCAAGTAAAAGTAAAAGTATCCATCTTAAAATGTACTCCAGTAAATGTAAAAAGAAATCCGTTAGCATGCCCGCGCAATGTTCTTTCGGTTTACGCAGATTGTTTTTCCCTGCATTTTATTTTTCACACAGTAATGGATTATTTTCCAATGTAGCAAAGTAAAATTCTTGAGTCAAAATGTACTTAAGTAAAAGTAAAATTACTTAGTTCCAAGTTGAGTAAATGTAATTTGTTACTTTCCACCTCTGCATTTGTCACATTTGTGGTGCTAGAAGTGACGACAGTTGTCACTTACATCATATGGTCATGAATGGATTATAGTTTGAAGCCCTAACTTTTATAATCTTAAATTCTGTTCAAATGGTCGCAACACTATTTTTTACCTCCTCGTGTTATTTTTTTTTTATTTTGTAAGGTGGTGGTAACATGGTGGCCATTGATTTAATCGTGCAGCATGTTCACAGTCAATTGGAGGAGGTAAGAGACGTCACATTATCACATGCATGTTCTTAGTTTAAACATTACTATGGAGAACATTGAAGATCTGCAATATATCAATGATATTGATTATTACTTATTAAACTAAGATAAGATAGAGGGGATGAGAGTTGCTAGTTGTACTACTCCCACTAGTGCAGTGGTTCTCAGTTATTTTCTGTCATGCGCCCCCTTGGGGACAGAAATGTTTTTAACTTTATCTGCGTCATTTTAAAACTTTTATGAGGCATATTCTGTCCATCTTTGAGGATTCACAATCAATATCAATAATTAGCCAATACATTTTTCCTCATTTTTAATTTAAAAAATGTACAACTTGATGTGGCAATCATTTAATAGAAATTCCTAACCCTTACCTTATTATGTTTGTACAACCGTTCAATTTTAAATCCATGGGTGTGGACTTTGGTTTTTTTGACCTCGCCACTCTGCGCCTGCACGTACAGTACATAATTACACACTAGCTGCTAACTGACTGTTTTTTCACCTGTTCCCCACACCCATTCCCATTACCCTCCATGGCTTGCAGCGCGAGCTCAGCGTCAGGTAGAGTGTTCTTTATACTGTTTATCCTTCTTCTCTTCCCTTCCTCTTCCTCTGTTTGACTACTTCCCCTGGTAATCCTATCTTATGTCAGGGGGGAGAGAGAGAGAGAAAGATGCTCCTCAAACCAATGTCCACTACACATGACTTGCTGATTACACCTTTGTCATGACATCATGTGTCGACTCATGTGGCTTCATGTAAAGATGGAAAAATTAAATTAAAATTTTAAATTGATCGGTGCACCAATAGATTGGCCAATCAATTGATTGGTATCGATTTCCTTAATCTTCAATATTGGCAATCGGCCATTTCTTTTATGAGAAACCGATTTTCTCTACCGATCTTATCTAATTCCGCAAAAGTCTGAAAGTTAGCCAGTGACACGAATCAGTGGAAAATCAATTGGAATTGTTAAAAAAATCAGTATCCGCAACTTACACTGACCCAAATTCAGAATCAGCCAATCGGTGCACATCTAATTTTAATGGTTTTATTTTTGAAAAAAAATGATGTCAAAGTCATTTTTTCCACCGTCATGCAGGCTTCGGTATCTGAAAATACTCACATAAATCAACCATACTGTAAATGTCTTTATGTAAAAATAAGAATAATGTAAGAGAAGAACTACATTGCACTAAGTTTAATCTTTGAATGTTTAGACAGGGAGAGGGGGGAGAGGAGGTAAAGTGTAAGCAGATCCTCTTCTGTTCTTAACAGTAAAAGCACTTGCATCAATGTAATGCCAAAATTCCATCGCGTACTAATTCAACAAATATCTTCAAAAGTATTGACTACTGCAAGCACCACCTTGACACACTGCACACAAAGTACAACGTTTTGGCTAGTTCCAAATGAATGTCTATCTGTCTGCTTAAAATTTTTTTTTTGTATTTCCTCAGCTTTTCTGTCTATGTCTCACTCTGTGAGATTGTCTTTCTATACCTTTCTAAGTCGTATTGCTCCTCATTTTTTCATCTGTTTTGTTTTCTGTGTCATGTCTCTTTGTTGTGAATGTGGATGTGTTTGTCAAAAAAAAAAAAAAAAAATCTCCGTGTAGAGGAAACTGCGCTGGGATATGTGAGAAGATTTTTCCACTCTTTTTTTTGCACCTGGCAAATGGTTGACAAAGTTTACACTGTAGTAATAACACGAATGAAAGTTTGAGCTTTTCTAACAGCGTGGTCCGTGTTGTGCTGTGCTTCACACAACCAACAAATACAATTAAGAACTAACAAAACAGCACCGTGTCAGACCGAGGGATGAAGGGTTTCAGTTACAAAAGAGCCTGACAAACAAAACGTTTGACATTTGATTCAGTTTTCATAACATTAAATTCGTTACTACCATGTAACCAGTTCTCATCCGATCTTAAATATTCAAATTTCGAATTACAATTTCACGGTTTTCCAGGCTCAGTTTGGAACGAGTTGATAGTAATCTACACCTCTATTGATCAAATGCAGTCAGAGTGAAGCATTGTGGCACGGCACAATTGTTTAATTTATTTTCTGCATTTAATAGCCAAACAAACAGACATCTTCAATGGCGTATATTCTCATGTACTTTAAAGATTTAATCAGATTGTGCCATAGAGCTGCATGCATTAAATCAAAAAGTATGATCAGTATATATATATATGTGTGTGTATGTATATATATATATACAGTATATATATGTATATGTATATATGTAGATATGTATATATGTGTGTATGTATATATATATATACACAGTATATATATATGTATATATGTGTATATATGTATATATATATACAGTATATATATGTATATATATATATACACAGTATATATATATATGTATATATGCATATATATGTATATGTATATATGTATATATGCATATATATGTATATGTATATATGTATATATATATATATACACAGTATATATATAATTTCTTTATTTATTTTTTAATCTAGGTAGATCACTTTAGCTTGGTCATTTGAATATTCCTCCCAAGTCAGAAAAGATGTGGGCACCTCTGGTTTATGGTGTGGATGTTTGGATCAGGATTTTGGTCACTGGACCATCATCTCTATCCCGCATTTGTCTGTGATGACACTGCTGCGCATGTTCACAATGTGTTTCCAGAAAATTCATTACGAGTCTTAAAACCCCAATTCATTATGAGTGTGCTGGTGTGTGTATTTTCTGTTACTTATATGTACTATATTTATGTCTTTTTTTTTTTTCATTCTCTTCTTCTTCTTCCACCACCATATGGCTTGATTATGTGTTATCACGGTTACAGGGCAGCGCTGGCATCTGCACACCAGGCCCAGCCGCTCCCTCAGACCCTTAGCGTTCTGGAGAGCACACCCCAGGTCAAGGGAATGCACACCATTATAAGGTTTAAAAAAAAATTATTTTCAAAACATTCTGATCACAATACATTGAGGGGTTATTATGTAACCTGTTTTTTTTTTGTTGTGTCTGTGTGTAGAAATAAGGAAACGAGCCGTGATGAATTTATCTTCTACTCCAAACGATTGATGCGTCTGCTGATTGAACGAGCGCTCTCCTTCCTCCCGTCCCAGGTACAAAACACCTGGATAGCTTGTTAGTTTCAATGATAAAACTGCGTAGAATATGTGCGTACTCCGTTAATGCAAAACTGTGGGATAAGTATGTTTTTCTTCCGCAGCACTTTGCTGAATTCCCAGTCACATCTGGGCAGTAATACCTTGAGATACGAGCATGATCCGTTCCAGGACCGAGCTCGTAACTGGAGGTGTTCGTTCCGGCCCTCTAATTTTTTCCAGAAAACAAAAAAAAAATGTTCCGGCCCTCTAAAAAAACATATTTATTAGTGCTAATAATAATGGGCAAAAATGGTTTTAATTGCTATAGAGACATACACAAACAAAACATTTATAGTATATAAGGATTCCTGAAGCTGAAGCTGAAACTCCAGGCTGTCTTGTCGTACTTATGGCTAAGGTTTTAAATCACTTCAGGGCAGATGTCTTTCAACCTGGCAACACATGAGACCGAAATATGATTCAGATAAAAAAAACAAAAACTCAAGCATATGCAACTTGAACCTTTTTCTCCTAATTTTGGTTAACAAAAACAATAACAGTTTTTAGGCCACTTTTGCCCATTATTTTGGCAAATGATTATAGAGTAAAAGCTGCAGTGCAATAAAAGCCCACACGGGTTTTTTAACCCCTAATATTTAGTCAAATCAGAATACATGCCAAAGCCTCACTTCCGTGAAATACTTTGTGGTTCTCTTAAACGTAGTCGTTCATCAACGTGCTCACGTGTTTAATTTATTTTCTGCAATATGAATTACAGGTCCACATAGTGCAGACTCCTCAAGGAGAGGATTATGAAGGCAAGGCTTTCCTTGGGAAGAGGGTCAGTGAACCCCTCGGTTTTCTACAGTTTTTGCACTTCATAACTTTATAGATCAACCTTAGCCCATGCCCTTGACGTTCATTTCATTTATTTCTCTAGATCACAGGTGTGTCCATCCTGCGTGCTGGGGAGACCATGGAACCAGCTTTGAGGGCTGTGTGCAAAGACGTTCGCATTGGCAAGATTCTCATCCAGACCAACCAAGACACAGGAGAACCTGAGGTACCAATGAGACCAATCCTTAATGAACTAGAATGTGTAACAGAAATATTTTTTTCTATAAACCTAATTAAATTAAGATGAAACAGTGATTTAAATATGCGTCAACAGTTCATGTGATGACATCACCAGTTGACATATTTATGTATTTTTGGGAGGCATGGACTATGATATTGCACAGACTTCGGCATGTAATTAGTTTTAGTGGAAAAACAATGAGTTTAAAACCGACTTACCGTATTTTACGGACTATAAGTTGCTCCGGAGTGTAAGTCGCACCAGCCAAAGGATGAAAAAAAAAAGTGTGTCTTACAGGAGTAGCAGATACTGGTACACAAGCCTAGAGTGCCCTCTAGGGGCTGTCAGTGTGAAAATAACAAAAGTACATTTTCAGTGATACAGTAGTAGCAGATACTAGTACACAAACCTAGTCGATTGGCAAACCCAGCCAAAGGATGAAAAAAAATTAGTCCGAAAAATACGGTAATATTTATAAAGCAAATAGACTACTGGTCTTTACGGTTTTTTTAATAATCGATATAGGCGGACGAGGCTAACAAGCACTGCACAATCCCAGTGATTGGTCGATTTTTAGTCGAAATTTCACAGCTTGAGATGTGTAAGACTGGCATTATGAGATTTAAGTATATGTGTGAATGACTCTGGTATTAACATGAATCTTTCTTTTATATCCCATTAGCTTCATTACCTGCGTCTCCCTAAAGACATAAGCAAGGATCATGTGATTCTGATGGATTGTACTGTGTCAACAGGAGCTGCTGCTATGATGGCTGTACGAGTTCTGCTGGTAGGACTGCATATTTTTGTTTGTTTCGGGGGGGCGGTTTTAACAACAAATCCCGTACCCACGAGGGAGCAAAGATTTCTTTTTGCTTAATACAGCATTGTGTTTTTTTTTTACAGGACCATGATGTCCAGGAAGAAAAGATCATGCTAGTGTCTCTTCTCATGGCAGAAATGGGGGTTCATTCAGTGGCCTATGCTTTCCCGCAGGTGAAAATCATCACAACTGCCGTTGACAAGACAGTCAATGATCTCTTTCATATCGTTCCTGGAATAGGTGAGTTTCGATGGATGTTATAGATAGGGATGTAACGACACTCCACTCACGATAAGATTCACGTTTTTTTTCGTTCATGATACAATTTTATCGCCATCTATTTTTAAGCAAAATGAGCTTCAGACAAATTATGACCAAATGTAATGATTTTTTTTTTATTTGTAAGAACTGTGCAAAACAGTGTACAGTACCTCATGAACTGAATAACAGAATACAAAAAATACACAGTTTTTCACCTTAAGACTGCGCCTCACCGATTAGAAGTAAAACTGATCGGGCCTTATTTACCTCGCTAACTGACAATATATTAAACAACAAAACAATTAAAAAAATATTCACCCGAGTTTCAAGTCTCATGGTACGACCAGTGACTTTTTCTGCGTGATTTGTTTTTTTTATTTCAACCGATGCAAATTGTCACATTTCTATCGAATTTTAACCAAATCACAACGCGTCAGTACGTCCCTATTTATATATATATAAATATATATATATATAAATATATATATATATATAAATATATATATATATATAATCAATGCTTACAAAACAAATACATATACCATTCCCCTGCCTGAGTTTACGTTACATTTTTAGTCCAAAAACTAAATGTTGCATGTGATCCAATCACATCACTGCACATCACCTAATCAGTGGTATCTATTGTTCTAGTACTCACAGATAATTTTCCAATTTCAAAATGTTTAGGAAACTTTGGAGATCGCTACTTTGGAACAGATGCTCCCCCTGACTGGAGTGACGAAGAGATGGATGAGCCCAGTTACTGAGTAGGCTATCACGACAGCACCTTCCGAAGGACACACTGGCCCTAGATGTTGTTTAGACTAGTCTGGGGGAAAAAAAAAAAAAAAAAAAATCATGACTTAATTATTTTATCTGTTGTAAATACTGTTGTGAAAAGGGACATCTGTAAGTCTAATGTATTTATATTTATGTCAAATAATTTATAAAGTCCAAATTTTTTCAATCATTTTTAAAAAAAAATTCAACGATAACACACGGTCCTGTTTAATTACCGACAGTAAGCTTTACATTTAGTTCTAGTTTACAACAGAGAACAATGAATGAAAATCAAATTCCAGATACAACGATACGCCGATAAACCGCACCGTCGCTTCCGTAGTGCTTGTGTGTACTTTGAATATAGAATGTAAAAACTGCACATTGCTGTTAAAACACAACGATCCTTCAAATGGGCTTCTGATGGCATACTTCGTAATGCTAATGTAATTCTTTTTGCCTTTCATTTTATAGTTTATCATGCAGTGTGAGATTCAATGGTTGTTATCGTTGGCGCTTGCCAATGCAAAGTGCAGCGCCACTGAATACAACGCTGGTCCCTGTAGTACATATTTCAGGCCTGTATGTGGCGCTGTGTCCCCCCCCCCGCTCGAACATACATAACACCAGAATAAGTTCAGACGTTATTAGCTGTAGCGCATCAAGTAGCCCAATTAGCCTCTCTAGCACGGTCAGAAGTAGCCTGGCATTCGCCATTGCGACTGTGGGAAAAGGTTACAGAGAAGCGGGGCTTACCAGATTGTTTGTGAAGTTCTCCAACTTTTCCACTTTGGAACTGCAACCGGAGAGCACGAAGTCCCTCCCCGCCATGTTCCAAATGCGTTATTGCTCCGGGATCCGTAGTCGTATCGCAGCCTTGGGACCCAAAGCCATTCGCGACAGGAAGTCTCGCCTCCATCGCGACGCTAAGCATCAGAATCCACTGCTCAAAAACCCTTCTGCATACACATTTCCTCGCCTTCTTCCTCATGTGCAAATCACTCCCTGCTTCATTAAGGCACCTGGACTGATAACCTCGCACCTTTATTCAGTATCGTTCGTTATTTATTCTTTTACTGCGGAGAGTTTTAACTGAAAGTGTCGGAGTGGTACCTCTACACCGAGCGACAAAGTATGGTTGTAATGCTTTAAGTCTACAGACTTGCGTCTTTGCCTTGGAAACCTGTGGATAATTTTGTACTGGTGAATGATTCGGAAAATAAACAGAGCTGGTCGCCGACCGGCTTCCTTTCAATTCCTTCACGTCTGCTGCAAGTGTTTCAGATAAAAACTCTGTGAGAAAGTGTTTTCCGTCTCGTTAATGATCGAAACAATGCGTATTATTGTTATCATTGCTTATGTTTTGTGGGACGGCATATCTTCCACCAGAAATCTGTTATTGTCACAGGTCATTGTAGCGTTGTTATGCGAGTCCGTTCCATATAACATTCTGTTTGCACAACTACTGTGATGTACTGGCTACTATGTTGTTTCAGTAACATGGGCAGCGATTGCTGAGTGTAGGCTACACTGGCAATTGTAGTTGGTAAGAAAGGACAGCCAACACATGAATATATGTGTTTTGGTTGTAGGACCGAAGATGATTTGCACAAAAGTGAGGTTTTGGTTGTAGGACCGAAGATGATTTACACAAAAGCGAGGTGACGAGTGTCCTGTAAAAGTCACTGTGTAAAAAAAAAAAACCCCATTACAAAACCACAAACAAATTGCAGGAATTGAGCAGCGCTCATTTCTGATACAGCGTCAGGTCTGGTACCCAAATGGAGGTTGTGTGTATTTTTTTTCTCTGACTGTGGTGTTAGCCTGGCTGTAGCTATGTATATATTTGAATGATAATGGGAGTGGCAAAGACGTGCCGCTGACGTGTGTTTCTTTAAAGGGGTTCTGTTCCTGGAGGGAAGAGGCAGAACAGGGTGGAGTGATCAGAGCAGGTGTGTGGGGGAGTGAGTGTGGGGGCAGCGAAGCCATCTGGACTGTGAGAAGGCTGAAGAAAAGGGAGAGTGCGATGTGTTAATGTGTATGTGTAACGAGAGAACGAGAGAAACAGTGAAGTACGGGGAGTACGGGATGAAGAGAGAAGGAATGAGGCGACAGATTTGAGAATGTGTGTGTGTGTGTGAGTGGGTTTGGGTGAGAAGTTGATTGGGTTCGGGAGCTGCGGAGGGGAGAGAGATATGGCTTGCAGTCAATACAAATGTGACATTAATATGTAATACTTCATTCGCCTCAACCGTAGAGACGTATTTACCTTGACGGAGAGACAATGGGTTGGTATGTTTTGTGCGCTTGATCTTGTTATAGCTATTCTTTTGGGGGATGTATTTATCTACACATTACTTTCAATCTGGAGATGCTTGAAAGATTCTTGCTATATTTCGATCCGGGTCACGGCACCAAGTTGAAAGGTTATTGGTATAATCAATCCGGTTCACGGCACCAGTTGAACTTCTTCGTCGTTCGTCGTGAGCACGACACCAATTGGAGGATTTCTTCTCCCCGTAGTCACAGCACCAAAATTGAAGAAATCATCTCGTAGGTAGTCTCAGGCTAGGAATGACCCAGCCGGTAGATGGTCGATTCGTTCGATAACAGAACCCCAAAACAAACAGGTCCATCGAGGAAAATAAAACGACTGAGGAAGTAATCACGGAAATGTCGTACAACAGTTGTTAATACGCAAATCCAAGAACTAAAACTAGTGGCGCTTTGGCCCAGAGGCGATGTCTCTGTCATTGGTGTGGAACCCCAGGGTTCACCTCCTGGGCAAGTTTGAATCCCGGTTAGGGCGGTTGGTACCTTCCAGTGGACTCTCTCTATGATTTGGGTGGCGACCGCTGCCCCCGCGACCCGGTAACGGATAAGCGGTTTTAAATCTTGTAGGCCAATAGAAGACAGAGGTAAGGCCTCTTGTGGCCAATCATATTATTGTTATTGTATCATGGTTGTGCCTGCAGTCACCACTATGTGGCGCTGCTGCTCCATGATTCGACATGTTTATGAACCTATTGTCACTGAGCAAGGTGTTATCACAAAAGGAGTGGACGGAGCCTCGAGGACTAGCAAACAACCGGGGGTTATGGATGGATCCGGGGTTCCCTGTAAGGATGTGGATTGGGAGTCTTCCCATTGTTCCCATGGGGGTAGAGGTGTTTTGGACCAATAGGGGGTCATCTAGAGAGTTGGTGTGAAAAGAATTTTGGAGAAATTCTCTTTATATGTGTGAGGTTATGTGAGTGTGTAGCTTCTTTTTTTTTAAGGTTTGCTGAACTGTTTAGTGTTTAATTACAACGGGATTGTTGTCATTTCCTGTCCTGTTTTTGGTTATTTGACTTCGTTGCTATGCATCTTTGTCATGTTGACTTTTAGTCCTACGAGGAGCGTTTACATCTAGTGTACTGTAACGTCAAAGCAATTAACGTATAATAATCATTGTAATCTTAATTTCGTGATAAATTCTCTGACAATGATCGTACCAGGGAAATCTATAACCGTCACATCCCAAGGGCACCGCTGCAGGATATCACTGTACAGAGACAAATCCCCTCTCAGGTGAGTGCTCTATTTTCGTATATATTTTTTTACAGCGAAAATACGGTGAAGCAAGAAGAATTTACTGTGAGTGATGTTTGACATTGCAGGTTAGCTACCGGCCTGGTATCAGTGGATATTCTGACCAGTGTTGTAACATACAAGTTATACTAAAAGAGGTGCATATGAACATACAGTAAAAAAAAATTTTTTTTTCATTGGCAGACATATTGTAAAGCAGGCATATAATGATCACAGGGGACAGAAATGAATAGGATAGAGATATTTGATTTGGTTTGTCGTATTAGCGATGTATGCACAATATTATAGCACATGGATAATATATAATAATATAAGATTTACATTAAAAAATGGCCACGGTTTGCAGAGCATGGCTCTGTACGGGGCTTTTTTACAATAGTAGGTTTACAATAGTAATAACTGTTTGTGGATGCAGCCTTAATGAAAACAATTGTTTTGTAAAGTAACATTTCTGTAGTTTATCTATCTATTTAAAAACACACCAAACACACTCTCACCTTTATCTAATGTATTATAATATCATTTCTCAACAGGAATTATGTTCCTTTTTAATGAGGGTATCCAGTACTTTAAAAAGCGGTCTTCATGCGAATACATCAGGAAGTTCTATGAAGCGTTTAACTGCTCTTCTGTAGACCTTCCATTATTTCCTTGACTATTTTATCACAGCTGTGGCCGCCAGAGGGGGTAATACACACAAAACCCAGTCGTTATTATTGAAGAGAGATTATATATTTTATATTTATATTTACTCTTTCGCACCTGTCTCCGGACCTTTTTTGTTACCATTATCATCACCGTCATCAATATGATTGCTTTTATTATTATTATTGTTGTTGTGTTAATATTATTATTGTTGTTATTATTGTTGTAGATGATAAGTCGATTAGATATATTTTTCTCCTCAACGTCTTTATGACGAAAATGAATTGAATGATGATTTGTGTTCTCTCGTTTCCTGATAATGCAGAGAGAAAAAGAGGGAGGGAGGGAGAGAGAGAGGGAGAGTGAGTGAGAGTCAGAGAGAGAGAGAGAGACGCTTGTCGTAAGAAGAGCTGGGAGTGGAGGAAGACCGCGAATGGAGACTTAAAGACAGTCCGTAGACGAGGGAAAGGACACCGCAGACGCCCTTTATTTTCTTCTCCCCCCTTTCTTTGAAGGCTATTCCATTATATCTGGAGTCAAAGGGACTGACAACTCGTCTCGCCCATAACCCTCTGGGTAACAGGTACGTTCCTGTGACTTCAGATACTGCTCCTAAAATACAGCGGGCTTTATATACATGTACCTAAATACAGGACACACAGGTGCTAAATTAGTTCCTCGCGTCTCCCGCTCATAGTAAGGTAAAGGATGGGGAAACAATGCAACTCCTCGGCACTTACAGTGACGACGTGAAAGCCTCGAGTCTGAGGCATTTCTGCTTTTCTATGGCATATTTTGTTATTAAATTTTGAAAGAAATTTTGAAAAAAATACCAGTAGAAGTGAAACAGCGGAACATGCCAGGTAGGACTCGGAGTCTAAGGACACCGACTTGCCGTAGAAAGTGACAGTCGGGTTTCTCGATTGCTGATATCACAAGTGTTATCATTACCGTCGTCATCTACTGTTAATGATATACCGTAACAATTATCGTAATTATTGCTTCACAAGAAAAGTCGAACAACAAATAACAATAAATACTAATTATTTTTATTATAAAATAATTAACACGCCAAAGTTGAACGCATACACGAAATAGCAAGGTGAATGTTTTATTGCATTTTTTTGACAGTTGGTGCTCTTTTCTGAAAATAGGGCTTTTTTTAACAGAATTTTCAGTTTTGTACTCACCAAGACAGAGTACCAATGTTGGTACCAATTTAGCTTCTTCTTTCGGCCATTCCCTTAGACTACTTATAAATTATAATTATAATACAAATGGTTAGTGTTTCATTTACTATTCAAAGGAGCGAATAGCAGTTTTATGCAAACTAGCGTGACATGTAGTGTGTGGGTGCAAGGTCAACCTAACCCACAGTGAAAGCAGAGAGGTTTACAGCCATTTTCTTCCCATTAACACAGAGGGGTCCAAACTTTTATTCAAAGAGGTTGAAGTCAACATGTGTGTCTGTGTAGGTTCTCAGTCATCCAGGTCATTTAATCCAAAAAAAATAGTTACGTCGAAAGCAACTGGACCAAGTAGGGTTTTTTTTGAAGACGTTACTTCTTTAGTTCTGGGGGGGGGGTGGAGGTATGGTGAAAGAGACCTTATTTAAAGGATGGCGGATTGTAAAGTCACCAAGTTGGAGGTGTGAATGGGGGAGTGAAACCACAGCTATGGACTAATAGTTTCACCTGAGCGACACTTTTGACGTTATAGGTGGATGAACACGTGTGTGTGTCGACCTTTCTTTGTGTTATAACTCTGATTTCATAACGTGTTCATATACATTTATGACCGATTTTGACCAACACAAAACAAACGACACCTCGTTTGTGGCATTTAACTTATGGGCTCTTGTAAAAAAAAACCACTGCTGCTAGCTTCAGTGAGCTTGCCCTATGGGTTAGCATGTCTTGACTGGTAGTGTTTCTTGACATTGAATTCTGTATAATAACAGCCACTGTCTTTCGCCTGAGTTAACAGAAGAAGTGATGCACCGAAATAGAATTTCTTGTCCGAAACCAAAAAGCAAAAACCAAGGCTGAAAACCGAAACATTGAAACAAATTATTACGTCAATTATTAGTATCATTGCATTTATTGCTATTCCATTTCTTGGAATACAAGTAGGAGTATTCAGCCTGTCTTGCTAGCAACTATACTTTGCTGAATATTTAAACTACAGATGCCAAATTCCCTCTCTTTGGAAATGTGACTTTAATTAGTATTAAAACATCAGTGTAAGAATGTGCACATATGCAATACAAAAGCTAATACATTCACATACAGACTAGAGATGTGTGATAGTCTATTATGATAGTATTGTAGTGCCAGTTGCCTATGATAGTATCAGAATATATTTTGCCTATGAAAAAAAAAACAATACAGAAATTCTGCGATAAAGTCCATATATTGGATACATCGCAATATCTCTTTTAAGAGAGAGATCGTTTTAGTTTGGCTAACTAAAAAAAATCTAGCTATTTTGGATCCCAAATTATTGGATCCTAATTTATCACCAATAATAAACAACCCCAGAAATGTTTCTCATTTATATGGCTTAATCTCAACATGGAACGGAGTCCTAAAAAAGTAAAAAAAAAAAAAGAAGTGAAATCATAAGAATCCTAAAACAAAAAAAAAGAGATAAAAAAAGCAGAATCTACATAGTGCTGCGTTTCCTGCTCTCATTAACTTTTCTACCACTCCTGCAGGGTTTAGTCTCTGTGCTCGTCACCCTCCCTCCTGGATTCTTTTTGTGTGTCTGTAAACCCCTCCCCTCTCCTCCTCCTCCGTGCGGACTCTAAGAAACTACCACACATGGTGTAGTTCATTCATGCTAAGCGCCATAATGCGGAGGCCTGAAAAACTGCATTTGCCTTTTGTGGCAGTATATGTTCAGAATGACCGGTGTTTATTGGTTAAATATTTGTGGCCCGTATATTGAAGTGATGACATGTTGATATTTTGGCAAACTAGAACTAACATTAGTTGTATTCAGTTTGGTTATAACTTGATAAAAAAACAAACAGATGAGACAAGGACACACCGTAAACTAGCATAATGTCATTAAAGCAAAGTTGTATTTTTCTTGGCTTATTTTGGGTTTTTAAGATATATTGATTTTTTTTACGTGATATAGGAACAGACTATATAGTTTATATTGATACACAATACGGTGGTTCTCCCTCTCTGCGAGGCAGCGCAACGGAAACATGGTGTTAACAGAAGAAAAGGAAACTTTACAACACCTTGCAACAGCACCATTACTGTAAGTGCAGTATGAGAATGTGTTTAACTGTGCTGCAACCTAGACTCTGAAGGATTACTGCTCTTAAAATGAAAAAAAAAAAAAAAAAAAGCTGCTGAACTTGAATATCTGTGCAGTGTCTTATTTAAAAAAAATTGAGAAATGGATCAATACGACATATCAACCGAACGGGGTTAACAAAGTCAATAGAGACTCATGACCCTAGCAAATGTAATATACAGTGCAATATCTAGAGTCCAACTTATGAGAACGGTGCAAAACAAATCTGCAAGTGCATTAAACGATACTGATATACTGATAAAATACTGATAAAAAAGCAAAAGAAAGAAACATGGTCTCTTTAGTCTGAATCATGCTTCATGTTTTTTGGGTCTTGTTTCTTATGAGTGCAGTTTACAAAAGGCAGTTTTTAATTGCACAAATCACCACCAAAATCTTTTTTTGTGTGTGTGCTCTTGTTTATTTGTCAACCGAGGTCCTCGGTTGACGATGTCCTAAACCAACTATCTTTTGTGGTTACGTTGCCGTCTCCAGTAAATGTATTAAGAAAGTCTTCTTCCGTCAATCCGATGTACTTCTTGAAAACAAATTTCCATACGAAAACTAGTCGGCAAACTTCCTGAACGAGTATGTTGTCACGTGGCGCTATACGCTGATGATGTCTTTGTTTACATTCGTCTGCTGTACGCCATAAATTTGCTTTCTTTCTTTTGTTCGTGTTGTTGTTTTTTTGCCCTTTCATTATGGCTCTCAAGCACAATCCACACTGTCCCGATGTTTTTATGTCCTACATTATAATGTTACCACTGTGTCACGTTCGTAACGTTAGCAATATGTGAGTTCTGACTTACAGCAAAGATCAAGCTACGCCACGCTGTAGGAACGTAATCCCTACGTAAGTTGAGGATCCATTGTATTTTGTGACGGCTTTTCACCACAGCTAGTTGCGCGGTGGCGTGATCACCGGTGCAAGACTAACTGTACGATTTGTTTTCTTACGATATGAGCAGTTTGCTAAAACACCGACGAATGCACCTTCATGCTAAATCTGCTAATGTTTCTTTTTTTACTGTAATTGTACTGTGGATAGATGAAGTGTCTGAACACCCGAAAAGGGAGCTGTTATAGCAAAGTAGCTAGCTGTACTGGAGTCTGTCTGTGGTGTTTGTTATATGAGAGTTGAGTTTGCTGGGACGTGACCTCAAGGCCATGTTTACGACTACAGATCTCGCAGCTGTAGCGCCTCGAGTTTAGCCGAAGACTGGGTGTTGGAATGGAGAACTGTGTTCTCTCTGTATATGGGTCCCAGAGGAGAGAAGTTTGAAAACTCTTGTTCTCGTGTCTCTCGTATGAATGGAGCAGAGTGAGACAAGACGACCAGCCTGGCCGCTCTGTCACCTTTCAACTCTGTTAACTCTGTTAGCCTTACTCCAGTTAACCTGCTCAACACCGCCTAATACTAAAGATGACCGTACCGGAGTAGCTAATTTGGCTATTTGGTGTGCTGTTAGTCTCTGCCTTTTCGTGTTTTTTTTTTTTTTTTTTTTTTGGAGTTTGTTTACAGTTTGCCAGATCTTATGCGCATGCTCTGTAGTTTATTTTCCAGTTTGCGGTATTTCTGCTGCAAATTCTTTCGAGTATTACTATGTGACACAGCACCACATACAGGCCTGGCATGTATCCAACGGGCAACTGTAGTCGTATTGTAGCGTATTGCAGCCGTGTAAACAAGGCTGGAGCTGAAAGTTGGTGTCTTTAGCAGCAGCAGCAGCAGCAGCAGCGATGGAGTCTCCAGGTTACCACTGATGTCACAAATTACACAGGCTTGTGTAATTTTCTCACACCCGCATGTACACAGTGGTCACAAACATGATCTTGCGTTTTTGTATTATGTATATTTTTTATTTTTTATCTCTGCCCATTTTCTTTCCTTTCCGCTGCCTCTGCCTTGGCCCCACTGCATCTCTCTACCCCTCCTCCTCTTTTCCTCTTACTCAGTTCCCTTCCACTCCCTAATCTTCCACCCACGATTCCACCTCCAACCCTCCCCCTGTAAGTGGGCCAGGTGCCTCCTGTGGCCTCCCCTACTCTAATTCTCATTTTTACCTCTCTATTATACTCCCTTTCTCATTTTCTCTCTCCTATTTCTGTTTCTCATTTGAATCCCTTCCCCTGACATCAGCTTATATTTATACATAGTGTTACTTCCTCAGGGAGGTGGTTTGGTGGTAATGTGTAAATATTTTTTTTTTCTCTATTAAAAAAACAGCTTGGCATTCCGTGACCCTTTGAATTTATTTATTTTTTTATAAATTGACAGTTGTCGCTGTGACATATTTATTGCCTCCCATGATAGGTCACTCATATAAAATAAGAAATGCAAATGTGAACTTTTCTACACTTTTGGCCGTTTTCCTGTTATGAAAATTGTAAATACGCACTAGGGACGATTATGGATTTTGCGATTATCACGATTATTAAAGACTATTATTATTTCACAACACTCCTTGTAAATACATGTATAACACCCAGTTAAGCATTGTTTGGGCTGTAATGACTTATGTTGACTGTCAAAATATAATAACATTACTGATTTTATGACCCCATATTTGTATATTTACAAAACTAGTTGTGTAGGACCAATCATTAATTCCATAGGGAATTTCTTAAAATAAAACAAAATCATTCATCATCATCAATTGTGATCCATACCAGATGTTTAAGGTTATTTAAATCTTTTTTTAATAATTTGTTTAATTTTTATCAATCGTTAGGTGATAATAATATTAATAATATTTTATTATTAGTAATATTTTCTGGCGATATTCAGGAAGTGCTTAATGTCGAATTAATTGTGATATGGTGTAATCAAAACATCCCTAAGACACACAAACATTTACTGCAAAGTCTATACAAATTAAAGTTGGAGCGCTGCTAACTCATTGTTCTTTCATTTGGCTGCACGTACTTGCTCTGTGCATTTAATTTGATCCTGTAGCCTTTTCCAACATTGGTACATTTTCTGTTTATGTGCTCGAAATGTTCCTGTTTTTTTTTTTCTGTGCTGATGTGAAATGAGAACAATTCAAAACCAAATTGAGGATTACGACGAGGCATTTATCATTGTCGAAACCTTGCTTTTTGTAAATCACATAGTTGTTACTGTGCTGATCCTTTGTTGTAATATACACACATGCTGTGAAATCCTAGTTAAGTAACAGTAAATAAATAATATAATAATAATAATATTATCTAAAGCCACGACGGAGCTTCCACTCCAGTAGAAACGATACCTTAATATAAGGCAGAAAGTGCAGGGTTAACAGTGATTTTAAAAAAAAGAAGAAAATACTGCAAAGAAAAAGGCTGCATTTGTAATTTATTAGGATTTATTGCGGAAAGCCAAATTCACCCTTAGAGAGAGAAAATGCGTTACCACACACGCAGGAGAAAAACGGGACTTTTCGACTCCTCCAGAGGGTGTTGACTTGGGCCATTCACATCGACAAATCCCTTTTTCTGCCAATGCCCTAGTGTGGACTGTTGTTGAATTTGTTGACTCCAATATAATAATTGAAGCCAGAATGTGTTCTACTGAAATGGTACATTTAAAAAAAGAGCAGCTGCGTTCAGTTCTACTAAATGCCTTGTATGGCCTTAGAGATGCCAGAGTATATTCTCCATTTAATCTGCGTTCAGTTCTACTAAATGCCTTGTTTAATGTAAAGTTAATGAAAGATGTGTATTGTTCCATTCATAGTGTGTGCCGAAACTGAGACCACCGTATTGAATGGTTTATTACAGATACATGCATTGTTGCACCCCTAATATATATATGCAGATACATGTATTGTTGCACCCCTAATATATACGTATATATTGAATTAATTAATTCAGTCGATGGGTCGTAGAGAGGTCGGTATCACTTAACAATTGACAAAGTGCAGTCTTACAGTGTTGGAAGAAGGTAATCAACAAGAGTAGTGTCAAAAACCCGTGCCTTTAACACTTGGATAATACTGGTCCGTTGATGCTATAACTAGCTTTTCACGAAATCCCTCTTAGCTTAACACCTGTGCGACTTAAGGTGGGAAAAAAGAGGTTACAGGAAACCTTGAAACCCCAGTGTTTACTGCACTGGTATCTATTAGATGGACAGTCATCTATACATAGGAAGCGGGAGGAAGGAAGGTCCCCTCAGTGTAAAAATGGTGGGGAGGAATGTCTTGCACTTAGAAGTGTCCGAGTGGGCAGCGAGTGCCAAGCTGATAGGGCTACATGCAACGTTTCGCTAAGTCTTAATCCTCTCTAGTACCATTCCATATGACAGTGCTGTTTCTCTTGGAGTCAATCTCTTCATCCACTTAGGCTGACCCGCCGGGCAGAAGAACAGACTGTTGACAGACGAAGAATAATAAGTAAAAAGTGCTGAGGGTACCGATAAGAAAATAGAAAGAAACTGGAGGAAACTAAAGGTGCCAAGCTAAACCAACAGTTACAAAGGACTGAAGAACCAGAAACCTCTTGCGAACTGCAATAATTGTGAATAGTTAGGCTTATGAAGTGGCGCTTTGGCCCAGAGGCAATGTCTCTGTCATTGGTGTGGAAGAGGTGCATGTTAGATGTTAGTGGGTTTGTTAGGATAGGAGATGTTCTTTGAGGAGAAATGTTTTTAAGCGCTTCTTGAAAGAAGAGAGAGAGAGTAGGACCCTGCTGGGGACCAGTGGGAACCAGGATGGAGAATGACTGAAATCGCCTTGTGTGAGGAGGGGGTCTTTATCAGTCTTTATCAATGACTTGGGGGGGCCAAGTCTTTTATCAATGAGTGTAGATATGCAGGAGTGCTCCCTGCCATAGTCAGTGACTTGGGTCAGTGAGCGCAGGTGTTACATGTGCCCTTTACGGTTGGTGAAAGACAAGACGTGACGCTGCAACTTGGACGTTTTGTTGGGGAGACCGGTAGACCCGATAAGAGGGCATTGCAGTAATCCAAGCCTGTAGTAACAGTTGGGTGGCGTGTTGAGTCAAGTACGGTCTGGTAACAGAGTTAAGTATTTTGTAGAGTCTCAAAGGCAGTTTTAAAAGTAGGCAACCGGACTCACCTCAAGTAAATTGAAGACGTTTCTCCTCTCATCCAAGAGGCTTCATCAGTTCTACTGTCCTGGTGGAGAAGTTCCCAGGTCTTTATCCATCGAAAAAAGTGGCCAAGGGCTCGAAACAATATGACCTTGTGTGTGGGTCATAATGGTAATGCTCTGACCTGTACATTGGGGAAACAAACCAGCCATTACCCAAACGTATGGCTCAACACAGGAGGGCCACAACATCAGGCCTGGACTCATCAGTCCACCTCCACCTTAAGGAGAAGGGCCACTCCTTTGATGATCAAAAGGTGCACATTCTAGCCAGAAAGGACAGATGGTTTGAGAGAGGGGTAAAGGAAGCCATCCATGTCAAAAGACCGTCTTGGAATAGAGGAGGACGCCTCAGAGACCAATTGTCACCAACCTACAATGCCGTCCTAAGTTCTCTCCCCAGGAAGTACAGACGTAATTCGCACCTCCATTCAGGTAACGCCAACGACCTTCACCCAGAGGACGGGAGGGGGAACGATCCACCGTTGGGCCAACGACTCACATGACCACTTAAAAACATATTGTTTCGAGCACTTTGACACTTTTTTTGACCCCCCCAACCCCCTTTTTTGGGTGGATAGATAAATACCAGGACAGTAGAACTGATGAAGCCTCTTGGATGAGAGGTGAAAACGTCTTTAATTTACTTGAGGTGAGTCCAGTTGGCTACTTGTAAAACTGCCTTTGAGATTGTTATGATGACTGAGAAGTGACAAGATTTTTTATTTTAATATTTACTTCTTTTACTTATGATATTATGATCGATTAAGTGATTGAGTGAAATATCTGTAATTCAGAGGGGATAATAATAGATGAAGTTCAGAATAAATACCGTGGTCTGAAATTGTGAACTAATGTATCTCTAAAAGAAGTTAAAAAAAAAACAAATATAAATTGGTTTAGATATACATATATTGTCTATCCTTGATGCAACGGTAGGAAAGAAAAAATATATTTTTTTCATATTTTCCATATTCAATATATTCCTTTGGACAGGACAACAAAAGAGAAAAAAAAATCTCCAATAGATGTTTAAGGTTGAGATGTTCTACTGTTACCACTACAAAATGTAATTCTAATCTAAAAAAAAAAGGTGCAATGGTAATAGATACATTTGATGAATGCGTACGATTATTTATACCAACGGATGAATTAAAACAAAAGACGATTAGGTTTAAGTTTGGAACATTTGAATGTAAACATTGTGTCATCTTTGTTTTTTTCCAGCAAATGTTCGAAAGAGACGCTTGGTTCAGCAACACAAATGAACAACAGGAAGGAGGACATGGAGATCTCCTCTCACTATCGTCAGCTCCTGAGAGAGCTCAATGAACAAAGGCAACATGGCATCCTCTGCGATGCCTGTGTCGTTGTGGATGGGAAGATCTTCAAAGCGCATAAAAATGTCCTACTGGGCTCGTCACGCTATTTTAAAACTCTTTACTGCCAGGTAAGAAGTGAACTATCCTGTCCAGTGAAGACAATAAATGAGGTTTTCTGTTTGGCTTAAAATACACTGTTAGAGTTGTTTTTCCCAATAAATGTAACCCTTTGATGCAGGATCCATGATATACCGAGTTAAAAAAATGTTACTGTTTTTATGTGTTTTTAGACATAAAAATAAGAACTGATTTGGTTCTGTTTTTATACACCAAATTTTCTTTTTGAATGTTGACACAATTATTCTGCAGTTGCAAAGGCTGACCACTGTATGGCAGTGTTGGGTGAT